AATTTCCCTTCATGGACCATTTGCTAAAGTCAGCACACTGTGTGTACCTACTCTGGTGAATTTCCCTTCATGGACCATTTGCTAAAGTCAGCACAGTATGTAACGCTTAATACAGACCCTAGAGATTTAGCTTCTCCCTTACTGTCCCATTGAGGGAGTGCTCCAATGCCAAAGTACTAAGTGACAGAGTTTTGAAAGAGGCTAGCTGTATTTGGTCTACTTATAAGTCATTTCTATACTCATTGCCAAAGTGGTCTTTATTAATAACTGCCATTGCTGTGAGTAAACGCAACCATGTTCAAGCTCCTCACATCATCTCAGACTTAAGTCAAGTGCTGTCTCCTCATGGAATATATATGACATAGCTTAGAAGACAAATGCAGCCTCCCCATTGCTCCTTTGACAGCCTCAATACTACTGTCAGGTTCTTCCAACAAGCTTCCCCTTCAACTTCCTGTCAGGTAGACATACTCTGCGCTCAGTCTGAACAGATAATTGAAGGCAGACCCTGAAAGCTCATCCTTGATTACCTTTATGAAGGAAGTTTCAAAACCAGATTTCACATACTTTGTTTACTAAGTATGAAGAATCAGTCACAACTCTAGGTTTTGTTTTGTTGGTGTTGAGAACCAAACTTAGGGCTTCATGTTCTGTTCAAACAAACCAATATCTTCCTTTAAAAAACTCAAGGGCTACTTAAATATAGCTTTCCTCCAGGTCTGTAAGTGGAACGTTTCATTGTGTGTGTGTGTGTGTGTGTGTGTGTGTGTGTGTTTCATTCCTGGAGCTTGAACTCAGGGCCTGGGTGCTGTCCCTAAGCCTTTTTGCTCAAGGCTAGTGCTCTACCACTTGAGACACAGCTCCACTTCAGGATTTTTGGAGGTTAATTGGAGGTAAGAGTCTCAAGAGCTTTCCTACTAGGGCTGGCTTTGAACCTCAATCCTCAGATCTCAGCCTCCTGAGTAGGATTACAGATGTGAGTCATTGGGCAGCAGGTGGCGGGAAAGACTTTGTAAGGCAAGCTCTGTCTAGTCAGATGAGGCCTTGGAAAGTGGAGGACAGTGTGCTTGTTCCTAGGGAAATCACAGTGTGTCTGGCCCCAAAGGTCCCTCCCTCACAGCATGGTGGGAAGGCCAGGCGGAGTTGAGAGGGAGAAGGTCCAGGCTCAGCCTGGGAGCTTCAGTGCTTACCTGGGTACAACGTGCCCTGAAGACCCATGCTTTCCAAGTAGTTGTGGCAGCGCTCTTTATGTTCCTCTAAAGAGCTTCGCTGTTTATAGCTTCGGCCACAATATCCACATTTGTGAGGTTTACCAACTGCAGAAAACACAATTGAATTCAATACCCCAATTAAATATTGATCTTCTATGTAATGGGAATGCATGTGGTACAATTATTACTAAGAAAAAATTATACCCTTGAGAGTTAAAAGCCTCATGGACTTGGTTAGGAGTCCAGGGGACTCCTGAATTATCCCACTGGACTCACATAAATCTTGTTCCATCCTAATTTGTCTACTGTGCAGATAAATCAGTTCTTTCCTTTTAATCACTGTAGCTCGGTGCTGATGGCTCACACTTATAATCCTAGCTACTCAGGAGGCTGCAATCTGAGGATCACCGGTGGAAGTGTGGTTCAAGTCGTAGAGCATCAGCTTTGAACTTAAAAGCTAAAGGTCAGCATGAAACCATGAGTTCAAGTCCCAGAAGCCTCAGTACCAGCATACACACAAACACACACACACACACATACACACACACACACACACACACACAGAAAGAGAGAGAGAGAGAGAGAGAGAGATCTGTCTTTTAAATAGAAAAATTGAACCATAAGCATGTTATCATATAAAGAGAATCCTGAGGAAGGCTGGATAATGCAAAAATTAACCTCCAGAGTGGGCCTTCAGTCCACGTGTAGGCTGTGGGCTGGGTCTGGCTCAACACTGGGGCTGTGTCTAATGCAACCAATGTGAATTCAATTTAGAAGGCTAGGCTGGATAATTTGAGGTATCTAAGAAACCATGGTAGGTAAAAATGCTTTAATTAAATTCATTCTCCAACTCATATTTTCCTATGTAATACCAAAATATTTTGTGTAAGACCATATACTATGAAGAAACAAAATGGAACATTTCAAGGAAAATGTAAAATGTATTTACATTTACCAAGGAAAGCAAAATGTAATTCCATATACATGGAAAATGTGTAATATATTTTATGTAAATAGACACGATGGAAACCCCATGTTATCCTCACAAAGAACATTAGGATGATATAACTTCTAGATCAACTGTACTCACTGGAACTGACTGCATTGGTGAAAATATTCTCTATGGTCTGTGCAACATGGTCTGTGCATCCTCTGTGCTGTTCTACACAGTAGACATCAGTCACATGTGACAATTCAATGTTCAAAGTATGGCTAGTGCCACACGGAGTGAAGTTGCCATTCCCCATAACTTTAAATGATGAAGATTAAAATATGACATCTGACATGTGGCTAGTATACTGGGAGAGTGCTGTTCTAGACAATGAATTTAGCTTTTCCTGGATGTCACTGAATGGTATTTCATGAAAAGAAGACCAGTAAGGAATCAATAACCTACCCAATGTTAAAGACTACTGAAGATACCATTTTAAAAGATAAATGCTTATATAAGGAGTATAAACTTCCACCCTAAAATCAAGGTCTTCTTTCTCAGGCTGTTTGATTTAACACACTAGAAAATATCATATAGAAAACAAAACCATCCAACTAGGAATGTTTGGTAACTGATTTAACTAAGGCTTTTGGTGGTTGAATTTTTTTCCTAGGTGAACCAAAACCATTATTTAAGATGACTAATATTAAAATAAATCCGAAGCTTGACTCTGAAAAACAAAGCCATCTTTCTTTATAGAAAGTGCTATACCTCCAAACTGAGAAATAATGCTGAATATTGCCTAAAATCACAGATTTTATCCAGTACATTCTAAGAAATTAATACACTGTAAGTAACCACTCCATGTCCTTTTTTGTGGAATCTATAATTTTGGTGACATTCATGATCAAAATTGCTTCCTGTATAAAGGACACAGTACATGGATATCCATTTTTCTTGGTGAATTATTGGTTTGAACTCTGGAAAATAAATGCATTTGCTATAAGCACATGAATGAAAGCATATCTTCTAGTAGGAAAGTATGTCTCTAATGAAGCTTACAACTTCCAAGCAAGCTGTGAGGAGGGAAAGGTCCCCTCTTCCTTCTGACCCCTAAGATCTTCTTCAATGGCACAAATTCTGCAGTAACAAATGTGTTGGTGTCTCCAGCTCTGGCCACCAGTGACAGAGGAAGTATGTTAATGATCCTGATTTTTCACAGAATATGGGGCATGGCCACTCCACAGGGGAAGAGAAGGTTGCTATGCCTGGATTTCTTAAAGACTGAAGTCTTCATCTTATCCTAGTGAAATTATTTTGAAGGACCTAAATCATTATTTATGTTTTCCCTCCAAGAGGTCTGCGTGTGTGTGTGTGTGTGTGTGTGTGTGTGTGTGTGTGTGTGTGGTCTTATACTAGATTTCTTCACTAGCTCAGATATGAGCTTCCAGGGTTTACCACTTGGTAGACCATCCTGAGAGCAGAAGGGTACTATGCCTTGAGGGTAATGAGAAGGCATGGAGCCAGAAAAACAGAAAACATTGAACGAGTATATTCTAATTTCACAGGATAGAAAAGAGAGACATCAACTTAATTCAGTTTTAAGGACGGATATGTGGGAGATATTTATTCTACAAATCAGAGTAATCTGAGAGTGTCTAGACTATTGATGATACAGTGCCCAGCACCACTTCCTGTTTACTGGTGGTTATTGGAGATAAAAAGTCTCAAGTACTTTCCTGCCCGGGCTGGCTTTGAACTGTGATCCTCAGATCTCAGCCTCCTGAGTAGCTAGGATTATAGGTGTGAGCCACCAGCGCCACGCTGAGGCACTTTTTTTGTGTGTGTTCTGATACTGTGACTTGAACTCAGGGCCTAGGTGCTATCCCTTTAGCTTGTTTGCACAAGGCTGGTGCTCTACAACTTGAAACCACAGCTTAATTTCTAGCATTTTTCATGGTACATTGAAGATAAGAGTCTGATGGACTTTTGCCACCCAAGCTGGCTTTGAAGCTCACTGATACTCAGACCTCAGCTTCCTGAGTAGCAAGAATTACAGACACGAGCAGCATTGTAATGGAAATGCTGCCGCCAACATTCTGCTGACAGTTTCAGACTGGCTTTTCTCACCGAGCTTTGAGTGGTATTTGGCTAAGAGGCATTCCAGGCTGAAGCAGCATATCCTGGACTGCCAGGACTGTACGGTGAACCACCTCTGGGTCACCTTTGTGAAGACAACTACCCATCATTGCTATTTAAAAACCATTCCTTATAAGACAGTGGGCATGCCTGTGTGGGTTAACCATGAACTTAATGAAATGTGTTTGCAAATTCTGGGGGCACGTGTAGTACAATGGGGAGACAGTATGGTGGGCAGAATCCTCGACATAAACCCACTTACCTGGCACTGTGGAGTGAAAGGCCTCTTCTGAAACTTTACTAGAAATGGAGGCTTTCCTCATGTAGTTGAGTCTGTGTATGTGTTTGGTTCAGTGGGAAAGTGGAAGGCTAGGTAGGGGTCAGTGCCAAGGGGGCTACACAGAGGGAGGTAAACTGGGTTGATGAACTGGCCTGGGGCCCCTGTACTCCCAAAGTGGGCGGTCCTGTGCCCAGACTGGGCATCCTGACTGCCCAGGAAACCTACCAGAGTGTGTCCTGAGGTGGCCTGTTAGGGCGTCCCTCCGGCGGCAGGCATAGTTGCAGAGGTGACACTTGAATGGCTTCTCCCCGGAATGCAGCTTGATATGCCGTAGCAGGTTGCCTTTCTGGGTGAAGGAGGCCCCACACTGATTGCACTGGAAAGGCCGTTCTCCTGGGGCAAGGAGAGGAGAGCCAGCCGTGAGAACAAAACTCAGCCTGGGCATAAGAAGACTGTGGCCTGCAAGAAAGTTGTTTCCCACGGGCCCGGTGACTTCCACCGGCTGCAGGTTTGATAGAACATGAGGCTTTCAGACTAAACCTGCCAGCTCCTTAACGCTTCACTGGCTGGGTCAATTTGATCTGAAAATCTAATTTTTTTCCCCTAAATCAGAATGGCACATCACAATGCAAATTCAAACTCATTTAAATAAAGTGACTGCAACATTTTGTGATGAAGAGCCACTCTTCCTGATCAGCAGTTTTGGAATAAACCAATATCCAATTTTGCGTGTTGTGGCATTTGGTGGGGTTTTTTTTAATGTGGCTTTTTTCAAAGGGTCTTTAAAATATGCCACTGAAGCAGCAAAATAAAAGGGAAACTCATTAAAAATGCATTTCAGGATCACAAGTTCATTTCAGCGTTACATTCTTATATTTAAATGAAAGGCACTTCATTATAACAGTTATAATAACTTCTTTTCATTTACATTTTCCCTGTATTTTCCCTTTCAATTTCTTCTCCATTACCTGTCTGTCCCTAAGCAGGCAAATCAGGAGAGAGACAGATAGAGAAAGTGTAAGGGTGAGAGTGAGATGGAGAAAGATTGAATAGAATAAGGAGTTTAGAAACAGGGCAACGAGGCCCCATCATCCACAGGAAACTTCCAAAATTTCCCTATAGCAGGGCATCAAAATAAGAGTCCCATGGACCTTTCTTGCCCTTTTCCTTTTGTATAACTTCTATATCCAGTCAACTTTTGTTTGTCTATTTCTGTAGGAGACAAGTTCTCTTTCAAGCATAGCTCTTCTATCAGAGGCAATGTCATCATTGTTGAGTAATTCTCTGAGGTGTACTACTGAATCTATGATGGAAAGAGCTAGCATGTGGCGGAGTGTGTGCTTGCAACCCAGAAAAAAGTCATCAGAAAAGGAATATGGGTAGTCTTGATGGGTAGTCACAGATTCTTTGATTCTAACTTGGCGAACATTTCCTTGAACTTCTACTGAAAGGAGTGATGTCTCTCACGTTTAAATGGATATTAGAGCTCTGTTGACAAACAAATGCTTTCTTTGTCAAAGCAGAACAGTGCTAGGTGGTCATAATTCTTGGTGTAGAGATCCTATGCAAATACATGTCCTGGGAATAATTTTCTTAGGAATAAAGAAGGTCAAAACACCTATATGATTATTTTCCTGAGCAGGAGGGAAGAGAGCACACTTATCAATAACTGAGGTATTATTATATTAATAACTTGGTATTAATCCACACCCTTGCTGGGCATTGGTAGCTCATCCCTGTAATCATAACTCTTTAGGAAACAGATGTGAAGATCTGGTGCAATCCCAGTTTAGGCAAGAAAATTCGTGAGAATCTTAACTCCAATTCATCACCCAAATGCCAGAAGTGGAGGTATGGCTCAAGTAGTAGAGCACTAGCCTTGAGCAAACAAGCTAAGGGACAATGCCCAGGCCCTGAGTTCAAAGCCCAGTACTGGCACACATACATAGACAAAAACATCCTGACTAAATCTTAAAGTGTATATTGTTACCTGAACTTCTTGATTATTCTCACTTTTCCAGCTGGCAGATAGAAAAATGAAACTAATTTATTATGATATTCAATCATGGGCCATCTGAAGAGGTCTTGATACTAAATAGCTTGTACTCAGTGGTTCCCCAAATCCTAATTTGTAGGTTGGATATGGGCTGAGTAGAGAAAAAGGGGCTACATAAAGTTGAGCACATTGGCAGGCCGTGGTAAGACCATGTTGGTTGGTAAGACCAACCAACATATTAACTATAGCCAACCCTCTGAGTTCCAGAATGGTGTTGGATGGAGAGATTTGAAAAGGGCCTGTAGCCAAGTAGTCCCTGAGGGCTACTTGGGGGCGGGGAGGTAGGGAAGTCACTTAATTCCTATTAGGAACATTTCTGAGCCTTTATTACAAGTGTTCATGAGGTGTGTGTTTAACTAAACAAAGGAAAAATAACAATAATGTAAACCATGTGTACAAGAGACCCAGAGAGGAGGAATCCAAACTTCAGTTCTCATTTGTACAGGGTGGGCCTGCCAGCTGAGTGGTAAAGACAGGAAAATTCCCACAGTAAGGATGTGGAGGAAACTCATGGTGACTCAAGTGTGTTTAAGACATGACCCTAAGCGTATGAGCAAAATCCAGAGTCTCTCCTTTCTGTGCTGAGGAGAGACTGAAGTGCCATGCCTCCCCTCACTCTGATTGGCTGCAAGTAGAGTGAGCATCCCTATCAGTTGGAAGCAGAGTGAACAAAGGTCAAACAGGCTTGCCACTCTTCTGCAGGAAGCAAAGAAGAGGGAGAACTCGCTTAAACTTGGAGTCACTGATCCTCTAGGATTCTGTTGTGCCTGGAACCTTAATCTTCACCACAAGGCCAAGCTTCATTGGAAATCTATTTGTTTCTGATTTCTTGTGCAGGCCCAAGGGCCAGGAGGTCTGGAGGACAGCATTTTCAAAGATGATAACACACAGTGTTCCACTTAAGGGAGTGCTGTATGCAAGGGGGCATGTCCCTGAAGCCAGGTCTGTGTATTCTTTCTGTTGCTACTGGAAACAGCCTGCCTTCTGCACATCAACAACTTGTTAGTTTGGCTAAGTTCAATGTTGCCCAAGCTTGTATTCTCTTTCATTTTACTGGGACAGAGAATTTGATATCACAGATCCCAAACAGTTTTTCATCTCATCAACTCTACATGTTTTCCACTGTAGAGGGAAAACAGAAAATCTTAGAATTTCTGAGAGCCTAGCCAAAAAGGAGAATTAACAAAACACGTTGGAGCTGAAAAGAATGGGCCTGGTCACACCATGCTGGATGGCCACACTGTGCCAGGTGGCATTACTACAAAGGCTGCTCTGGTCAGGGCCTGACCTGACCTGAGAGACAAGAAGAGTCTGCACAGACTTCCTGGTCCGACCATCTTCTTGGGCTTTGTTATTTAGAATAATAAATGGCACACATGTTGCATGGTGGGTTCCCTTCAATGTTTCTTTCCTGTGCATGTGATTCTTACACTCATCCTGAGATGAGGGCCAGAACAGCATAGTCACAAGGATGAGGCCCAACAGGCAGGGAAGGGCTGGTACCCATGGGCCATTGAGGAAATGGCACCACTGGCTCTTCACCAAGGTGGTAATATGAGCAGATGCAACAGACTGATCCTGATTCTTCTCAATTTCCCAAGAGAAACCAGGGAAGTCCTATGCTTGACTGATGGCTCACAGGCCTGGGAGAGGGACAGTGGCATGATGCATGTGCCAGCTTTATCTCACCCTATCTAAGCTCTTAAGTGAACAGCCACCTAAATGGTCTGCTCAGGATGGTAGGTCCCCAGAATCTAAGTGGGCTCCATGGCCCCTGTCCTGGCATCCCTGTGTCCCGTGTGTGTCGGGGGGGGAGGGAGTTGTTAAAAATGCCTGCTTTCCAGTATGCATCAGAGCCTGCATTTCCACAAGATCCCATATGATTTATAGGCCTTTTCAAATTGGAGAGGGATGCTGTAAGTGATGTAACTACTGACAATACAGAAAGCATATTCTTAACATATTCTTAACATGGCCAAATGGGTTCTCTGTCTATCTACCTATGGCCTTCTGTATTCATATGTTCAAACTGTTCAGTCTCTTGTTTTTAAGTAAATGACCAGGCTACTACTCCAGAAATGGAGTAGTTTGTAGAAAACCTTTCTTTCTGGAAGTACATGTTCTGTATGTAAAGAATGAAGTGTCAGGGTAGATGTGACATTTAGCCCCTATTAGTGGAAGAACTTACTCAGCAAACCACAGGTACCATTTGCATATCTATACTTGGCAGGTTTATTCATTAAAGGTAATTATTCTTTTTATTAGGGCAGCAGTTGTTATGTTTTGGCAATTTAGTGTGCCAGAATTGGATTCACTTATCAAATATTTATTTAAGAGAATTTCCACTGCAGAGTCCAACTTTACATGAATTAGCAGGAAAGTAATCCATTTGTGAGCTTATTCCACATTAGGAAAGTATTATCATAGGTCTGAGTGTGCCACATTGCTGTTTATCTCTTTCCCATGGATTTTTATCTCACTATAAAAGGGGACAGTGAGACTACTCTCTTGTATACATTTATGACCTGGATGTGACTGGATAATTTGAAGATTAAGAAGTCCATTCTGAAAAGCAGAATGGCCTATTCTAAAATGCAGGATTTTTAAAGCCCTATTTTTAAGCAAGCATGAATGTCATATGTGGTGTATGTGTGTGTATGGGGGGGGCATATCCCAGTACCTGGGCTTGAACTCAGGATCCTGGCACTATCCCTTCGCTTTTTCTCTCAAGGTTGGTGCTCTACTACTTGGGTCACATTCCCACTTCTGGATCTTTGTTGGTTAATTGAAGAGAAGAGTCTCATGGACTTTCCTGCCTGAGCTGACTTTGAACTGTGATCTTCAATATATAACCATGGCCTTTGTGATATATATTATATATCATATATTATATATAATATATTACATATCACATTATTTTAGAATGTTATTTTAGAAACTTCTTTATGTATATAGAATTACAATCCCACAGATACTTACATTTTCTAATAACTAGTTTTGCTGAATGCTTTTTCTGTATTTTTGTTTTAACTTTTATAAATGTGTGTTTGGCCCCACGGAAGAAGCACAATAAATTATCATTCTCAAGACATCTTTCTAACCTTCCTGAGATCTTACAAAACTCTCCAATGTGGCTCCCTTTTTCTCCTCCTGGATTTTGAAGTAGCAGATGCCAATTTTGAAATGCCAAAGGATACCGCTCACTGGCAGGTGGGGCTCATGGTGTCTGTGTTGTATCTAACCTTTCTGTGACTACTAGAGTTGGTGCATTTATTGTGTTTTACCCACATTTCAGGAAGCTTCCTATGGAAAGAAAAGTTTCTGCTCAGTGGGAAACCCCATGTGCACACTTAAAAGTGAATGAATGACATTGATGCTTTGCTTCTACAATGCTTTACTGGTTTTGGTGGTGGTAGGGATACTTATTTCTTTGGGACATGTTTCTCACTGTTCAATCCACAGGATTTACTATGAAAACCACAGGTGCAAGGTGAATGAAATTATTGAAGCATTGTTTGGCTTCCCACAACCCCAGAGATAGGGCGTCTTGTGAGCTAGGGCATAGATCTTGGACATTAGGCAGCTTGTGTTTCCTCATTGTTGGGCACAGAATATTATATTCTTGTGTGTGTGTGTGTGTGTGTGTGTGTGTGTGTGTGTGTCTTGGTAGTGGGGCTTGAACACAGAACCATGACACTTTCCCTTAGCTTTATTCACTTAAGCAGGGAGTGCTACCATTTGAGCTCCATTTCTGGCTTTTTACTGGTTAATTAGATGTAAGATATATTATAGTCATAAACTGCTTTGTTAAATGGCAACTCTTATGTACAACTACTTAAACATATTATTATTATTATTATATAAAAAATCTCATGGACTTTTCTGGCTGGGCTGGCTTCAAACTATGATCCTTAGATCTCAACCTGCTAGGTTCACCAGAACCTGGCAGAATATTACACTCGTGTGTGTGTGTGTGTGTGTGTGTATGTGTGTGCCTGTCTTGAGGTTTGAACTCAGGGCCTGGGCACTGTCCCTGAGCTTTGTGCTCAAGGCTAGTGCTCTATCACATGGAAATGAAGCCACAGTTCCATTTCTGTATTTCTGGCTTTTTTTTTTTTTTGGTGGCTAATTGGAGATAAGACTCTAATGGACTTTCTAGCTGGGGCTGGCTTTGAACCTTGATCCTCAGCTCTCTGGGGTCCTGAGTAGCTCAGGTTGAAGGTATGAGTCATCAGCACCTAGCAACTTCACCTTTTTTGATTACACGGATACATATACGCAAACTGAGAAATGATTTTTAAATATTGTTCCAAAGAAAGAATTCTATGCCTCTGTACAAGCTGGAGGCAGCTTCTTGCAGTGGTGCAGGGCCCGTCCCTTGTTGAAGCAAGCTCCAAATGCTCTACACCAACAGTACATTTAACTCCTTCAACATTCACAAGACCTTCTCAGGCCCCTGAAGGAAGAACTATGCCAGGCCTTACCAGTGTGGCTTCTTTTGTGAACCATGAGCACATTGGGCCCGATGCAAATGATCCCACAGATATCACACTTTAGTTTTCCATTAGGAAGTCGAATGCCTCCAAGTCCCGACAAAGCCGAGCTGCCTTGGTCCCTGTGAGAGCCATTCATTTTCTCTCCCGAGGCATCAAGCATTCGTAAATCCTCTGCACATTCTTCCCCATTCATTTCACAGGCACGCCTATTCTCTTCATCACTCTGAGCCTCTACTTTAATATTACTGGCTGAAAGAGACAATACAGGAGGCCACTCAGTGTCATTGCAAAAAAAAGAAAGAAAGAAAAAAAACATAACACGCAAAACACAACAGAGCAACACAGCAAAAGGCCGTCTAATAGACATAGAGAACACTGATGTCCTGAGTGGGGCCAGGGGGAGGAGAGGGCGGCCTGAGTCGCATGGGAGCATGGGAATGGCAGCCAGAGGATGCATCGGGGATACAGGGGGAACCTGCAGCTCTCTCCAGAGATCTTACTGACCAACTGTCTGGAAATATCTGGAAAGATTATATATAAATGTTTGTCCTTGAGGGTCAGGCCTTCATTTAGGCAGGTTAAAGTCACCAGATAGACAGCCTTCAACGGGGATTGAATCCTATGTGTTCTTTGTCATAGGAGCACCTGGCACTGGAAGGTATTTAATCACACAGTTGACCTTGCTAGGATATGAACACACAGTGGTTAACAAGCCTGAAACATCCCTCCCCTCTTATGCATAATGCTGCCTTGCCTTGTTTTGTGTGAGGACAAAGTCTCTGTTGGATTCCCTTTTGGATTTCTGTTTCTCAGGTACATAATCATTCAATTACCCTTTTATCTCACAGTGTTGTAAATCAATACTCTGTCCTAGACTCAAGACACCCCTTTTACATCTCCTCCATAAACTGTGGGCAGGGATATTTATCAATACAAGAAACCAGGGAGAATTTCTCAGAAAATAATGTACATGGGTCAGTGGAGCGTCTTCCTTAGGTGCTAGGGCTGTCAGGAGTAAGAAAAACAATAACTGCTTCTTAAGTCACACGTGAAGTAATTACATCATTGACATACTCTATTTTTTTGTGTGTGTCAGTACTGGGGTTTGAATTCATAGCCTTGCGTTATCATTTAACTTTTTCATTCAAGGTGGTGCCCTACCTCTTGAACTATAGCCCACTTCTGGCTTTTGATGGTTAATTGGAGATGAGTCTTATGATTTTTTGGGGGGTGGGGTGGGGACTGGGCTGGCTTTGAACTGTGATCCTCAAATCTCAGACTCCTGAGTAGCTAGGATTACAGGTATGAGCCACCAGTGCCCAGGAGGCACTTTCTTCCTAAAGAAAACATGAGCTGATCCATTTTGCTTCATTTCTAACACTGCTAGTACATCAATACACCTAGTCTTAAAGTGACAGGGGATAATTGCAGTTAGTCGTGAAACTATTATTTTTATGTACTCATAAGAGCAGGGCTGAATAAAAGAGTAAAATAATCAGTGAGGTGAATAACAAGAACACACTTTTTCTCTTCCTCCTTTTTTTCTTTTTCAGGTAAGGTCTTATCACCTAGCTTGGCCTCAAACTCATAATCTGCCTGCCTCTGCCCCCAAGAGCTGAGATTACAGGTCTGCATCACTATATCAGGCACAAGACTACATTTTTTTAATCAATATTTTCAATCAACTCTCCTCAAAGTTTTATTCCTGGCAAACAGCTTGGGAAATACGTATCAGACTTTCAGATTCTGGGTTCTTCCAGCTCTGTTGAGGTGAGCCAGCCCTCTGTTTGATTGAATCCTCAGACTCAAGACTGAGAAAAACCTCTGCAAATAATCCTTCTAGTTCACAACCCTTCAGGTTTATTTTACTCACCAAATTCCTCTTGATTTTGAGACCCGGAGTCCAGATACTTTCAGCCAGCAAAATAACTGTCCAGAATCTCAGCTCCTCTCTTTTTAAAAGCTCAAGGTCTTAGGCCAGTCATGTAATTTCTCTGTGCCTTGTTTTCTACATCCATAGAAATAGGCACTAACCTAACCCTAGCAGGATGGCTGGGAGGATTCAGTGGATTGACAGATGGGGACTGGGACTTGGCGAGTGGAAACCATCTAGCCATCTCGTAGAGTGAGGCTCTGCCTAATCCCCTATTGGTATGCCACTTACCTTGTATCATGCACACAACACTTCAGGTGCACTCTATTTAATCTCCATAGAATTCTATACAGGAAGTATCATTATTAATACTGGGGCACAGAATGGGAGATCACTTGCTAAGGTCAAACACTAAGCAGATGGCAAAACTAGTCCTTTGGGCCGGGGGGGGGGGAGACTTACAAATAAGAAAACAACATGAGTAAATTAAAACATGGGTAAGAGCTTCTACAGAAAACTTTGAGACTGCCAAAGTTTGGATTTAATTCAAGGCTGAAGAGTGCTGTCCCTTTCCATCAGATCTATTAAGTCCCTGAGAAGCCCAGTGCAGAGATTCTTCAAGTGCTGGTCCCTATGAGGTTCTGAAGACCAGAGACTCAGAACTCCTTGCATCTCAATATCCTCCTGCTAGCCCATCTTAGCTGCTCAGCAAGAGGCTGAATCCCACTGACAGGTGAGCAAAGGAGACATGGCAGGCAAAGGAGGCTGGTCTGCCATTCAGGTCATGGTGCTCAATTACTACTGAAGTTTTCAGAATCAGTCTTCTCAGCTGTATTCTGCGCATCTTCCTGGGTAGAAGCTAATATACGAGGGCCTTACTGCAGTGTCTACAATCAACCTTGCAATGGTTTGGTGCTTGTCCTCTGAATTCCCATGTGCTAAAGGCTTGGTCCCAAGAGTGGTGAAATGGAGGCAGAGGGTGGAACCTGTGATCAGCAGGGCCTTGTGGACATGTGTGTGTGTGTGTGTGTGTGTGTACGCGTGAGCACGCACGCACGAGCGTGCGCAAGTAGTGTCTGTGTGTATCTGAGTCCTTAGAGCATGCCCTTGGAAGGGAGGGACTGTGAGACCTGTCTCCCTGCTTAAGCTGCTTCCTAAGATATGATATGGGCAGACTGCACTGACATGTGCTCCCCATCATTGTCATCTGATGCCCTCCCAGAGGCCCAAAGCAAGGGGGCTGCCTGATCCTGGATTGGAACCTCCAGAGCCATAATTCATGGAAAGTCAACCTTTTCTCATTATAAGTTATCTTGCCTATGATATTTTATCGATGTAATGAAAAGCTGACTCATGAAAAGCATAAGATAAAGAAGCATTCTGGGCTAGCACACTTGCTCTGTTTGGCCACGTGATGGCTTCTGCCATTGTATGCTATGGCTCAAAGGCCCTTACTAGATGGCCAGCGCCACGCTCATAGACTTCTTAGCCTCCAGAACCACGAGCTAAATAATTCTCTATTCTTTATATATTACCCAGTTGCCAGAATTTGCCACGCCCATGGAAAACATACTGCTCTGTCAACAGGATAAATCTACAATGATCTGTGCATTCCTTTATCTAGGCTTGTGTTTAATTAGCCACCTTTAAAAAAATGTGAGACTGGAATATTCTAGAACACAATGGAGTAAATTGCACCTGGTGTGGCAATTTCTTCTCTCATCAGAGCTAGAGTACAGAGCTGTCCTGACGTATGTAAGCTAGGTACTCTTGAGGCTGGGGAAAGAGCACCATGCAGAGCAAGAACATGCAGAACATGCAGAGCATGTTCCTGACCTGGCTGTCTTTCATTCCCTTTGGTGGCAACCAGTTAAAGAGAATTCATTCTGGCCACGTGTGGACAGATGACACAGCTGCCTGAAGTGACCATGCACTTCTACAGTAATAGGAATGATGCGTATTTGTGCTGTTCTCTGTGGTGCTCTGGGGTGCTGTGGCCTGTGTAGGTGCTTCCCGAAGAGGAATAGGACAGCAGGGACCATCGTCAGTGACACCCAGGCTTCTGGCATCAGGAGGAGAAGTCCTGCCATGACAGGGGCAGGCTGCTCACATGAGGAAGGAAAGCTCAGTGCCAGGAAGGAAGCAGATGAGGAAGCACCAGGGGGAAACATGCAATGGATGTTGCTTTAAATACCGCAGACATCCTTAGAGCCAGAAGACCTGTGTCAACGCCTCGTTTGACTTGGGGTAGCTGAAGCCAGGACTCTGGTGTTATTAACCCACCTGACTATTTTGCTAATAACTATGACAGGACCAAAAAGAAAAACAGGTTCAAAAGGCAAGGGAGAAGGGAGTCTCGCAAAAATGACCCCAAGACCTATGTGGATCCCCAAATACAATCTCAGGTACACATGAATGTAAGATGGGTGGATGTTAAGGCTATGTGTCTATGCATATGTAAGGGATCCCTTGCACACATGGATGTGATGGGCAGTAGGAATATAATACCTTCATATAAGGAATTCACCTATGAACATTTTGCAAGTCCCATCTTTACTCCATTACTCAGAACAATGATGAACTCAGTAAGGTGCTGAATCAAACTGATTAAATATAGAACATGAAATGCACACTTGTGAGTTTCTTTCCCCAGAAGGCTCAGAGTCAGGCCTGCCCTGAGCTCTTCCACTGACTGAGAAATAATGGACAGGGGCCCACTTTTATTATTCAAAAAATATGGCTTGTATTAAGGGAGGATGCTTTCCATTTAAAAGGAAGAATACTTAAAATCTTATTGTCACATACAGGCCTTCGATGTAATTATTAACCCCACGGTCTTGAAACAAAGCCTTGTTCTAAATGGGACATGGCCTTAAGCATCTAGATAGGTTTAGAATTGAAGAATCTGGAGACTCCAAGGAGCTGTGAGATCAACAGGAGCCAAGATGCCTAGAGCTGCCAAGCATTATAGGCACTTGTGAATAATTGAATGTTTTTAATGCATAGGTGTAATGTACATTGGCAGTCTCCACCTTGCAAATGGGTTATGTTTCCTCTACGTTTTCATTTCCTTTCTAGAATGTGTCATTGTATTTATTAGAAAAGTATATTTTTTGGTACACAATATGTATTTATCCATGAAAAGTACAATTATCACCCTACTATGGTTTAAAGCTATGTAGACTTGAAGTGCTCCATATTTTACATGAAAAATTGTAATGACTAGTAATTAATTAGAATAAAAGTATTTAAGCAACATTACTGAGGGTAATTAAATAATAATTTGAGATGGAAGCTAGATGTGGAAGCTCAAGCCTGTGATCTTAGCTACTTGGGAAGCAGAGATTGGGGTATTTTAGTTCAAGGCCAGTACAGGAATAAGAGTCCATGAGATTCAATCTCAACCAATGGCTGTGCATGGTGACATGTGCCTGTCATCCACAGTGGCTCAGGAAAGCACAAGTAGGAGTTTGGCAGTCCATGCTGGCTCAGTCACAAGGAGACCCTGTCTTGAAAACAGCAAAAGTCAAAAAGGGCTGAAGGCCTGGCTCAAGTGGCAGACTGCCTGATTGTAAGACAAGGCTCTGAGTTCAGTCCCCAGTACCACCAAAAAAATGAGATAAGGATATTAAAGTATACAAATATATATATATATATATATATATATATATATATATGCATGTGTTTGTGTGGCATCTAAAAGAGATTTGTGAAATTCTAAGCAGTTTTTTGTTGTTATTGTTGGTCATGGAGCTTGAACTCTGGGCGTGGGCCCTGTCCCCTCAGCTCTTCAGCTCAAGAGTAGAGTGCTCTACCACTTCAGACACAGTGCCATTTTTGGTTTTCTGGTGGTTAATTACAGATAAGGGTTTCATGGACTTTCCTGCCCAGGCTGGCTTTGAACCATGATCCTCAGATCTCAGCCTCATGAGTAGCTAGGATTACTTACAGGCATGAGCCACTGGCACTTGGCAAATTTTAAGCATTTTGTATATATGATACATTTATTTGAATTAGGGCAGAGAAGGGGAACAACAGAATGGTGAGACAAAGGACAATGGGGGGGGAACCAATGGAACAGTGGCATACACAAAACAATATGTTGGAAATGCTCTGTACAACTTGGGGGAGGGTTAGGGAGAGGGAAAGGAGGAGAAAAATGAGGGAAGGGATAACAAGTTTGACAAGAAATGTACATATTACCTTACTTATGTAACTGTAACCCCTCTATACATCACCTTGACAATAAAAAAGTCAACTAAAAATTAATAAAACAATGCATTACCAGATGCTACTATTTAAAATATAGGGTACCTATCTTGTCCAGTATTAGCAATACAATTACTGGATGTCTTAGGCCTTTCAATGGAATGAAATCAGGCAGACAGAAAACACGGAAAAGCCAGAAAAGTGGGTAAGTATAAAAAGTATCCATTGAAAGTAGTATATATGCACTTTCTGTAGGTATCAAGGTCATAAATTGGAATAAAGATGAGAGAGGAAGTCACAGAGTTGTATTTGATTTTAATTTAGAGAAGTGTTCAAGGCATAAAGAACAATTTATTCTACCATGGCCACAAGGTGGTGATATAGACCAAGAACAGTTTGGTTGCTGTTGGGTGGTGGTGGGGGATGGGGGGTGGGGGGCCGGAGGGTGTTTGTAACAGACAGCCATATGTGGGAGGAAGACATTTACAATTTGAAGGTATTGAGGTATAGGGAGAATGAAAGGGAGATAATAAGACTTTATGAACCCCTATGTAGACAAGATGTCTGTCAAAATGCGCATTATGTCTCAGAAAAGCTCCCAGTATCATTTATCATACATGTCTACATGCAGGATTTTTTGTGTTGTAAAGGTCTTACCAAAAATTCTATTTGAATGTTACAACAGGATTAAGCTTAAACCTCCCTCAGACTTCATGGGAAGATGTCTTAGAATGCCCTGTCTTTTTTAGTGTATTTGACTTAAGTCAACAATGTTACCTGTCATATCAAAATTCATATATTCCCCATCTGAATATCTTGTTTTAGATGGTATATGAAGACAGACAAATACTCACATGCACAGACATGTACATATGCATAGACACACATATAGAGATAAATATCAAATTATTATTTTAAATTTGAATCAAAGGAATATTAACAAGAGAAAATTTTCTATAGACTTCAATATCCTAGAATAGCCATCAATGTAGCTGTGAGAAAAAGTAAACTTAGACCCATCTGCTAAATCCTTTAAAAACTAAATTGTCTTTGATAACCATGATATCAGAAATCTGTCTTTATCTGTTATTGTTATCTCATATTTAGCTTATATTCATAATCATTACAATTTTTAAAAGCTGGAATGAATATATGGCTTAGTGGTAGAGCACTTGCCTTTGGCTCAACACCAGCACCACAAAAACAAAACTGAAAAAAAAAACACAAAACAAAACCCAACTATAATAAGCACAACTTCTTTTTCTGGGATGGCTTCAAAAAACAAGAGAATTTACTAACTAAAACAGGCTCTGAGGATTGAAATTCTAAGAATGGTAACCAACTTGTAACACTTAATACTTCTCTGTACATTTTAAAAATGGCATTCCCTGTTTAAAAAATACTATGTTAAAGTGGTTGCCCAAAATATATTTATGGCTTATAAGCTGTCAGTACTTAAAAAAGAAAAAAAACACAAAAATGAAATTGACATTTGCTTCTGGGTGAACAGCTCAGAGCAGAGAAGGCCTTGCCCACTCGTTCTTGTAGCAAGGCCTGGCTACAGAGGGGCCTGGAAGCCGGGGGAAGTTTCCTCCAATCTGAAATGAATACTCCATCACAAAAGGAGACCAGTGCAACTTTTTCTCCTGACCTATAAAACTGTCAAAATCATCTTGAGAACATCTTGGGTTGTTTGATGGTGACAGAGCGTATGTATCACAAAGGAGACAATGCCAACATCAATTACCACATGGGTCAGATCTGATTGGCTCTATTCTCACCCTTCTTTTTACTGTCACCCCACTCTCATTCTTCTTAGCGCATCTCCAAACCCTCCAAGCTTTACTTCTTTCTGGGGGTAACTGATGTTCCTAATGGTAGGTATTTAAAGAACATTTAATTTATCTCATTTTTTTCCTTTTTCAAATGTGAAGAATGGAGTTGATGTCAGAACATGCAATGCACAGTATCTATACGATGGTAACTAAGTATGAAATGAATACATGTGTCTGCTTTCTAGAAGCAAAGTATATACTTACGAGAGAAAGTTTGGGGAATTATTGCATGAAAATCCCTAAAGCCATCAGCCCCATATGTAACTGCAATAAAGAAGGCAAAAAGAAAGCAGGATTGTAATACCATGAAAGATACAGTATGAATTTAAATGACAGCATTATTTAAAGGAACATATTATTGCTTAAAACAATTGGTCAGCTCTGAATCTGCCATTGTTGAGCTTCATGTGGGGAAGAAAAAAGGCATCAATTTGTAGCAACAGAAAAGTTGTCTTTAACTGAAGGTCCTCACTCAGAGAGACCTGTGACCTTCAAGGATCTCAACTCAACTCTTCTATAGAAGCGTTGGGAGCCAGCTAGAATGTGCTCAATCTTGATCTCTTGGAGGCAGAAACTCAACATTTTCTGGAGTTATGAGAAGCCTTTCAGCAGGGTTGGTACAAGGTTTCAGCCGCATTACAATAGCCCATATCTAAACAAAAGCAATGCCCCCCTCCCACCGGTGGATGTATTACATGTATTCTTTGTTCACATCTGAGGATGTGTTTGTAGACAATTTGAGTATTTCCATGCAACACATTGAGGGGGGAGGGATTTGTTGCTTTCCCCTTACCTTCAAAAAGGGCTACCAATTTCTATGAATGGTACAATCACTACCACCTTCAATCTTCAAGTTCTTACTCTGGCATAGGCTGAGAGGCCAGTGTATATCTCAAGATATACATGCACATGTGAATACTTACATACCTGGTTTTCCCTCTGGGCGTCACATGGTTGTGACTGTCAGAGTTATGTGCCCACTAAACTTCTAACTTGAACACTTGGACCAAGTACAACCACTGAATTAGCACTGAAAAAGCAGTGAAATTTTGCCAAACTCATTTGACCACAGACCCTGTCCATGTAATGATTAATAAAACATTGGGTTAATGGGAAAACATAGTTTGGGGAGACACTGTTAAACTTGTTTCGTGGGTCAGTGGCTTAATTATCCTACTGTAATCCTGGCTCGGAATCTCTTCATTTTGTTCTTGATTGCCCGAATCTCATAGATAAAGTCAGCATCATGCACCTCATCAAACAGAGCGATTGTTAATTGGCTTGCTTAGAGAGGGATGAGTTTGATGGCTTGAAAACAGCCAAAAACATAGTGCATTTTTTTTGTCAGTCGTGGGGCTTGAACTCTGAACCTGAGCGTTAACCCTTAGCTCTTCAGCTCAAGTTGAGCACTCTACTACTTGAGCCAATGTGCCACTTCCGATTTTCTGAGTGGCTTACAGGAGATCAGAGTCTCGCAGACTTTCCTGACTGGGCTGGCTTTGAACCACGATCCTCAGATCTCAGCCTCCTGGGTAGCTAGGATTACAGGCATAAGCCACCAATGCCTGGCCGTAATGCAAATTTTTATCCTATCAATTGTCATTCCTGCTACATTGAGTTCCAAAACGTGTATATAAACTTTTCAGTTGTTCTGTATGATGGAGAAACTACTATCTTAGATTATAGGAGAAGAGGCAAATGTATTAAGCAGGAAAGGTTAATTTTTAAAGATGGGGACATTAGAGTAGGTAAAGTCACACAGAAGTCTCTATTTGGATGGCTCAATGCTGAGAGGCTGTGCTACTGGTTGATGCAGGTAGGACTTGCTTGGAAAGTGAACTTCCTGACATATTCCTTCAGTTATGCAGCCACAGCTCAGCCACCTGTGGCATGCATGCTCATGCACAGAACAGTGGGTAAACTGAGGAAGAAAGGAGCTAAGAGACTGGGGTGACAATTTGTTTGTCATTAAAAAGGATAGACTTGTTGCAGCTTGGCAACCAAACTATAAGATTTACAACATGCAATTTGTTTTATTTACTAATTGTCAGTCCTGGGCCTTGAACTTAGGGCCTGTGCACTGTCCCTGAGCTTATGTGCTCAAGTTTAGTGCTCTACCACCTTGAGCCATAGCTCCACTTCCACAACATGTAATGTTGTCCAAATAGTTTGCAGTGTGTTCATATTTGTCTAGAATAGACTGTTACCATGTATTACTAGACAAGACATGTTAGTGACTTTTCAAGACAATCTGTACTTTGCTTAGTGTAATTCAAATGAGCCTTAGTAGATCTGAAAGTTTGATTTTCTACAAATTACAAAAGCAAGTTTACAAACAAAATATACTTGTCATTATCAAGTTCTACTTGGTCACAACAAAGGTAAATAGAGAAGAATGCATTCTTGTTCACTACCATCCACATTTCCAAACACAAGGGTCCAGATAAAGTGGTATATAGTGTTCTTCCTGGACATGTTATGATGTAAATAGCAAAATTCAACTGAAGTCCAGTGTCTTTTGGTAGCTACTCATCATGAGCTTTATAAACACTAGGTGCTGGTGTTTATAAAGTATTTAATCTTGAAATCTCCTCCTTCCTTCCTTCCTTCCTTCCTTCCTTCCTTCCTTCCTTCCTTCCTTCTTTCCCTTTCTCTCTTTTTTATTTTTTTGTGCTAGTACTAGAGCTTGAACTCAGGGTCTGGGCACTGTCCTTTAGTTATTTTTACTTCAAAACTTGTGCTCTACCACTTGAGCCACATCTCCACTTTTGTTTATTTGGTGGTTAGCTGGAGATAAGAACCTCATGGACTTTCCTGCCTAGGCTACCTTTGAATTGTGAGCCTCAGATCTCAGACTCCTGAGTAGCTAGAAATACAGTCATAAACCAGTACCTAAGTTATTGTGTCATTGTCTTCCTCTTCCTCCTCCTCCTCCTCCTCCTCCTCCATCCTTCTCCTCCATATTCCTCTTGTCCCTCCTTTTTTCTTTTTCTTTTGGAAATCCCATCCCCCCAAATCCTAGCTATTGTTTTATAAAAGGGCACAGATAAAAAAAGATAAAATGTATTGAATTTTTTCCCTCAAATCTTCTAAAATTCATGAAATACCCTCTTCTTACCAAGAGTAAACTCAACTCATTTGCTAGGAATTTTTATTCCCAAATGTCTGGTGAACGTTGTCATATAAAATGTTGTGAATATCTCAGGTTCTGAATCCTTCTCAGACTGCCAAATTGACGAATGTACAGAACAAAGATGACATGCTCATAAACCATACTTTTCGGTTTGCATTTGGCTATGGGGATTGTTTTAAACTCCAGCTTGCTGCTCCTCATCAGGGAAAGACTGAAATGTTCCTGAGATTTTTCCTTTTTTTGTGTGTATGCAGCGACTTGAATTCAAGGCCTTGGTGCTGTCTCTTAGCTTTTTTGCTCAAGGCCAGCATTCTACCACTTGAGCCACAGATCTATTTCCAGCTTTTTAAAGGTTAATTGGAGATAAGAATCTCATAGACTTTTCTGCTTGGGCAGGCTTCGTACTATGACCCTCAGATCTCACCTTCTGTAGTAGCTAGGATTACAGGCATGAGCCACCAGCTCTGGCTTTGAGTGGCTTCTCAATGGTCTTTCCCAATAAGGCCAGGCCAGCGTGGCCCCAATAGCTATCATGTACTGGTTTCTTCTGTTTAGACTTCAAGGATCTTGTTGTGTAGGTTTTGGGTCCTGTATAACTCTGCAACCCACATGGCCTCAGTGTAGCGTTTTCTGTCCATTGGACATGCAAATTGGAAAAGACACCAGACCATAGCTCTAGGACAATAGTGAGATCCACCTGGACTCAGTCCTTATTGTGCCTTCTTCCCTGCAGTCCCCGGATGGGCAGCACATCTTTCTGAAAACTTGCCTGCATCCATCCAGCATCCTCACTTGATTCTCTACTGTTCACTTCCCTTGCTGTGCTCCAATCGTGTCACATCATATAACATCCATAAAGCCACCACCATCGCCAAGCCAAGTCCAGAGCACATCCTACTTCCTAACTGCACTTCCTGCCTATCATCTAGCAAGTGGGCTGGCAGGTATGTGCATCATGGGCTTTGGCTTGCAGGTTCCCTTCACTCTGTCTGCCCGCTGGAATAGCACAGTCAGCCACAATGCTACTCTTATCAGGCAAAATCTGACTTCCAGATTTCCTACTGGTCTGCAGTGTTACGATGACTGTCACAAGCCCTACGTCAAAATCCTTCCACAACTGGCAATCAATGTCAGCAAAGTATCGTATCTCTCAGCAGGTAATATTATTCAGAACAGCAAAGGCATGGACCTTAGGGGAAAATGCAAAAAATATAAACAACAATAAAACCTCATATACCGCCCTCTTGGTTGCAGATATGCTACAGTTTCCATCTTAGCTATACAAAGACTTACTGCTTAGCTAAATCTGAGCTGCAACTTGAAGTTACCCTTCTGGACCAAGCAGCTCTCTACATCCTGCATCAGGCTTAAGATCATTTCCTCCATTCAAACTTGGCTCAACTTCTGGTCCAGCTCCTCATGGATTCTGGCCTCATGGATGGCAGAGTCGGCAAGGCCTGTTTTAGGACACCTGTTTAGAAGTTGAGCCTCTCTCTTACTGTCTCGATCTAAGTCTCTCTGAGATAAACTCTCAGCTCAGGAAGTTAGTGTGGGCCCAGAGTACTGGTGCTCAGCTAGATACCATGACACACCAGCTCATTTCCCACAAGCTCTCTGGCATCACGGACAGGGCAGGCAGGTGCTTATCACCTGCCAGTGAATGAACAAGTTTCTCACTTTCTGAGGAAATCCATAGTAGTAGCTAGACATTTTCCAAAACCCACAGCCATTAAAGAAGTAACAGAAAGCATTTGATTTCTCACGGTGGAGATTAGAGTCATGATACATTTAGCCCATGTTAGTAACAGGGGAAAAATCATTCTTATTATTCTTGTAATCCAGTGTTGTACATTACTTGTCTGGACCAGCTCCTTGTTCAATCTGTCCTCTGGCTTCCTTTGGTCTGTGTCATACACATCCTGGATGTGCTTGAACCTGGATATTTGTAAGTTAGCAGGAGACAGTCATGGCCACAGCCTCACAGAAGGAAGAAGAGGCTGGCAGTGGTTCTTCTTCCAGTTAGAGTTGGAAGAAACTCTTTAACATTGAACTGTGCCTCCCACTAGCTAAGAAAATTGGTCAATTTGTTAATGCCTCAGTTTTATCATTCATCCAATGGGAATAATCCTAC